AGAAAAATACTTTTTACAGACTTAAGTATGTTAAATACAACATTTGATAAACAACACTTCAGGATATTTGAAACACTGAAACAACTTGAACAAAATAAACCACATTTCTAAAGTAATGTGTAAGAACACTATATCCACACTTGCAGGGTTCTCAAATAGGAGAGCATGGAGTAAGTAGGTTTTATAGATCTTCACTCTCAATTAACTGATCATCAGCTGGTGGGAACAGCTCTGTGAAAGCAGCCTGGCACAGAGAGTGATATTATCTACACCTTTCTTAGTCACATGACAAGTAAAGTTAGGTCATGTAGGGTAATTGGTGCACCTGTTTAGTAGTTTTGGTTTGTCATCAGCCTAACTGTGGTTTTGTCTGGACTTTAGGGAAATTGTATGATGATGTTGGTTAGTATAACATTATTAATAAGAGTATCCACCTTAGAGTAAAATCCCTTTGTTTTGTCTTCTGTTTCAAGTGTGTGGAGGGGGGGGGGGGGGGGGGTGTGATGGATGAAAGTGGAGTTGAGGTTATCTCTGCTATCAGAGCCCTACTTTCAGATGCTTCTGGGCTGTACAAAATACATGACAGTTGTGATGAATGAACTACATTTCACACTTTTAAACTGTGTCTTATATCACACACTACACACATACATGTGCTACACATACAAAAATGCACCCACAACAAACACACAATACTGTCAATGTGCAAATTCACACCCACAAAATTCACAACAAATACAAATGTGGCCAGTGCTTTTTTGTTGCTTTTTTAGGAAGTTTTCAAAATGAAAAGCTGAATGAACATATATACATCCATCCATTATCTTTACCCGCTTCTTCCTTTTTGGGTCGCAGGGGTCACTGGTGCCCATGTCCAGCAATCACTGTGCGAGAGGCGGGGTACACCCTGGACGGGTCGCAAGTCCATCACAGGGACACAGAGAGACAAACGAGATAAACAACTATTTACTCTCTCACTCACACCTAGGGACAATTTAGAGTTACCAATCAGCCTAACCAGGGGCGCAACTACATATTTTTGAGGTGGATGCGAACACATCATCGGCGCCCCCCCCACCCGCTCCTTTTTACTTGCCGCCTCATACAGCTTAGTCATGCACTTAGAAAATACAGTAGTAATATTACAGATTTTTTTAATGTTACATATTATATCAGGTGATCATTTCAATCATAAACAAATAAGAAGTTTTATAAAGTACAAATATATAACAGTAGTGGTACTCAGTCAGTGCTCAACATTTTATGTAGCGGAAATATGACATCTTAACAGCCTGGAGTCCATGTCAGAGTTTTAACATTTATGACATTTAAACTGTTACATTCCGTGACTTTGCATTTGCCCATTTGTCAAGTATAACATCAAATGAAATAGACCGTGCCACACTGTTTTCAATAGAGATCACTGCTAACTGGGACAAGCGATCATTGCTCATATTTGAACGAAGGTATGTTTTGATGAGCTTCAGCTTGCTAAATGATCTCTCTGCAGATGCAACTGTCAGAGGCATGGTTAAAAATACTCTAAGGGCTACTGTCAAATTTGGAAATACCAAATCAAGGTCCTCTTGAATTAGGAAATTTAACTTTTCTAGAGCCTTGTAACCCTTCAGTAGACGGCTTGCTGGGTATATTTCTTGAATGATATCTCTTGAAACATCACAAGTGGTCAGGGCATATGTGGTCACTGATTCCTCCAGCTCAGCTTTTGTCATGTGCTCCATTTTAGTGATGAATTTAAATTTCTCAGACACAAGTTGAAAATTGGAAAACCTCTCAGACAGCTCTTGGAGGAGTGTGTCAACAATAACATTGAAAACCATGCACCTGAAGTGCCTTGTGGGTTCCTTTTCATGATGACCAGTGCATGAATTGTCATCTGGGAAATTCTTTTGCTTCCTAAGTCGTTTCTCTTTGAACTTAGGAGACTCACCAGATACATCACAACACACACCACTGTAGTGATACTGAATAAGACATTTAAACTCAAGTGTCCCTCTGCCAAAAAGGTTGGAAACATGGGTCACCAACCTTTTTGAGCTATAGTGACACTGAGGACTAATTTATCTGATACACACATAAACTTGTACAACTCATCTTTAATTAAAGAATCAATAATAATAAATGTACATATGAGTGAATAAATTGCAGCACTGAGGGCTAAGCGTTGGATCATAGCTGGGAACTGCCGCCACAACAGTTTAGCTTTCCTGTGTTAATATTTCATGAGTTTTATTTTGGTCATTCTTACACTTAGTGTGTGGATATGTGTGTGTGACAGGCGAGGCGCATGTATCAAATATTCATAAAAATACAGAAAATACTAAACAAATCACATCAATAGGGGAGGCAACATTTAACAGCCAACCGCAGTGTATTAGGCTAGCTTTAGCTAACCTGAATATTTAAACCCTCCTGTCCTGCTAATACACTGACAGTACTTACCTACTATCTTTCAACCACATTGAAAGGCTTTTTTTCATCCCGCCAACATCTTTATCCTTCTCCCTTTTCCTTTTTCTGTTTTGCGCCCCGGATAGCTTTTTTTTCTGCCGCTCCATCTTGTTGTCAAGTGCACAACGAGCGGTAGTTCAAGATTAAAAAAAAAAAAAAAACGCGCCGAGTGCGTTCTCTTAGGGGCGTGTTCACAGCCACCTGTGTGGGAAGGGAGAGCGATAGGAGGGGAGGTGAAGGAGCAGAGGGGAGGTGAAGGAGCAGAGGGGAGGTGAAGGAGCAGAGGGGCGCCTAATCAGTGCTGTTCCCCTGTTATTGATCATTTAGAAAATGCCTACTAGAAAAACATTTTTTCTACAGAGGGTTTTGACGCCCCCTGCAGTGCAGCGCCCCTATGCGTTGCATACGCTGCATACCCGCTTTTTGCGCCACTGAGCCTAACATGCATGTTTTTGGACTATTGGAGGAAACCAAAGTACCCAGACAAAACCCATGTGTGCACAGAGAGAACATGCAAGCTCCACCCAGAACGGCCCCCCAGCCGGGATTTCAACCAGGGCATCCTTCTTGCTGAGAGGCAGTAGCTTTACTACGCCACCGTGCTACCCGGTGAATGAACATGTGTGTGAAAATCAAGTTGTTGTCTAATCCACACTTCTTTCTGTAAATCCATCTCACCTTTCATTGTTTAATTTTGCCTGTGCTGAAAAATGTTATGTCTTTCCACTTTAGAGTGGACACAGTTAAACTGAGCCCACATAAATACCATCCATCCCCTCCTTGACATTTTTGTTCCCCTTCAATAACTTCTGATTATCTTTTGAAAAACTCTCATTTTTTCTCATTTAATTTTTTTAAACTAATGACCACATTTTTTTAGAGCATCGAGGAAAGTTAGCAAAGCCTGTCTGGTTGTAAACAAGAGACAGTTACATCATTCAGACAGGTAATGAGAGGACATACCAAGAAAATCAGCAACAAAACTTTCATAGATTTGTTCTTTTGTGTGTTAATTGTTGCCTCTATCTTTGGATACTTTTACACCAACATAATCACTTCTCAGTTTACTTGAATCTTTTTCTTCTTTCAAACTGTCACTTGTTATACCAAGATAGATAAATATACATGAACATAGAAGATAGATATACCAAGATCTTTCAACATGGATGTAACTTTTTTTGGTGTTGCACCATCAGTAATCATAATTCCTGAAAAATAGATGGAACCATATTTTACTCATTATATTGTTACATTATTTATTGGATTTAATTTTTGTTAATGATCTTGTTTTTCACTGCCAAAAGCTATGTTAAATTGATAAACATTTCATTCTACCCTGAGCTTCACTAATAGTTATTAGCAGTAGTTTGGTTTTCTCACTGACATTTTGCAAAATCTGCTTCAAGTTTAATACAACCATGAGATTTGTGTTACTACAAAAGTGAAACATTATTTTTCTTCACCACATTTGTAAATTTGTCATTGTTTATTACTATTGTATGCACCAAAAGTGTTTATCTTATAACCTTTATTAAATTAATAGATCAAACCATTCACATCGATTTAATGTTAATTTTCACACTGTTGATCACAATCTATAGCTTTGTCTCTGTGTGAGTTTTTAAGACAGAATCAAAGCTACTGTGACTTTCACGTCACCACCATGATGCCCCTGCTCTCAGAGCCTTAGCCAATTAAGAGTTTCAGTGTGGACTCCGAGGGTGATGTGGTGTTTAGTCAGCAGTTTGCTGCTCAGAGGGGATGCGGCATGTATTATCAGGATGGGAAAGGTCATCGATCTCATGCACATAGGACAAATCCACAAACTGACTGAAACCACACGCATATACTCACACGCTGTATTAACTATACTTGAGTTTTAAGACACTATTAAAAAAATCTTGGTTAAAACATGCAATTATTTTAGTTTTAAAAGAATAAAACTACCAAAGTACATTTAAATTCTATTGTGTTGGGATAAATGAAGAATGCCAATGATGATTGGCTCTGTGGCCACTTTGTTCACTGAATTTAATTAATCTCTAACATTTTTTTAATTACATGTTAAAAACTGGGGCAGACACACACATGACATTTTGAGGATTTGAATTTTTTTTTATGATCATTCCTCTATAATCACACAATTCCCAAATCATAAATGTGTTGTAAATGCTGAGGAATACAACAAACGTAAAGCTTGTCTGTCTTGGCTTTTGAGATTTAACTAATAATCTATTAGTGGTTGTGTAAACATGAAATCTTATGACTTATAAATCAATTTTATACAGTCACTATATTCTTAAAATAATGTGCGCAAAACCAAAGTGTGGTGGTAAAATTACAAAATAATATTTGATAAACTGACCTTTCAGGTCACATACACATGCGTCTGTACATTAACAAGGTGTTTATGTTTTGGAATTTGTGAAGATCTTGATATAAACTAACAACTATATGTCTAACACTCTGCAGCATTTGCACTTACAGTTTGTCTTGTTAGTTTAAAAGGCATTTGATCTGTTTCACAGAGACTCGGGAGGACCGCAATAAGAGACTGTTCAGACACTACACTGTGGGATCTTACGACAACTTCACCTCATACAGGTACAGTTTCTGCTTCTGAGCTAGCATGCTTAAGCAATGTGCAGGGCAGATTCATGTGCATTGTGCTGCACTGATGGTTAGAAACCACTATTTCACCCTGCCATGGCTAAAAATGTCCACAGAGACAGTGATGACGTGCAGGGAAGCTGCTGCCATCTAAAGTAATGAAGCTGCCGGTGCACTCCGTTCTGCATCAATAAGGCAACGCAAACTTGTTGACCTGTCTCAGTTTTAGCCTTTATGCTTGGGTGCAATGTGCATATGGATGCTTACAGTCATGTTGTAGCTGCCATTTTCTGGATTTTTAGGTTTTGCTCTGTCTTCCTTTGTCCTTCTGTTAATATGTCCGTTATGGCTAGAGAATAAGAATATTTCTTTTAACACAGATATGTTAATGAAGAGTTTAGACGCCATCTACAAAAGAGTATGTAATGATGCAAAGTTTGAAGTAGTTTTTAGGCTTAATCATGATTTCCACCATCTCTATAAACTTTTCCTAAAATGTCGGCCTTTGAATTTTTTTTTACAAGATATACTGGTAATGGCATTTCTGTCTGAGTTCCAGACTTCAGAAACTGGCTCACTAAAATCTTGGATCGTCTCAATGTGAGACTGTGCAAAGCACATAGTGTTTTTGTTTGTTTTTAGAGTGGCAGGTTAAAAAAAAGAAATCTGATCTAGATCAGTGAAGAAACTGACACTAAACGTAGCTTCTTGTTGCTTATTCCCACTGAAATTAATACACTGAGCTTTGAGGTGGAAATCAAGACAAAAAGTTTAAATAACTGAACACTTGTCTGCACAAAACTTTTGTTTTACAGACGTTTAACTTAATTTGTGTATATTTTATCAGATCTAAACTATAGTCTAAAGACTGAATCATAAAATGTCATTTCAGAATTGTTTTGGGAAAACATTTACCACTTTCAAATGTGAACCTGACATGAACTGTTTTGTAAAGTCGTGTAGGTGGTTTCTGAACAAACACATTGCATTAATGCAGTATTTTGGATCATGGAGCTGAAGTGAACTAGGATGAGATGCTTTAAACTGACCAAAGTACTTAGGGATGCTTCACCATCACAATATTTTATGTATAATAATTAATGCAGAAGTGGACAGAAAGCATTTTATGAAACCAAACTTTTAACCTCCCTCCTGCAGAAAGGTTGGTTACGGGTCTTCTGGCTTCAGAAGCAGGAGCTCTGTATTTTCCGGGTAAGTCCAAAAGTCGAGTGTTTGCAACTGAGCTAATGACAATACAGCACCTGACCAAGCTGAACTCCAGCACGCTATACCTGCCTCATTCAGGAGAAAAAAATGGCTGATAATGTTAGAACTTCTCCAATATTAAAACTACATTTGTGGCTTTTATTCAAGTGTAAATGTGCAGCAGCTCACATTAGTCAAAAACATGTTACAATTTATATTCTGCTGTTCATGCACACTAGACTTAATACAGCAAATGACCATTTTTATATATTCTCAGGTAACAAAGAACATGTAAATTTATTCTTAAGCATTTGGAATCATCTAAAAAAATATTTCATTTACCCCAATAACTTGATTGACTGCTCCACTTTATGTTTGTTTGATGTGAGGAACTGGTTGTGAAAAATGTTAATTTCACACAGAAGAGCTTTTGTCGTATTTGCTGCTCAGAGCTATTTCACTAACTGCTTTTGTCTTGGAGGCCTTTAACAAATTCATGCTTGAAAGACTCACTCTGAAAGAAGTGCAAAACATCACAGGTTAACACCACATACCAACCTCCTCTCCTGAACACTCTGGGAAATCAGACAGTGAGAAACTGCTTTGCTCACTTTCCATTTCTCCTGTTATGAACCTCGGAGAAATACTGTATTGCAGCCGTCTCTGTCGCTTTTTAGAAAATAAAATCCCTAAGCACACTGCTCAGCTGAAGTCTTATCAGAAGGATCAGCCAGAAGGTTGATTCAGTCTTAGGATTTATCCCACAGATACTTCGGTCACACACTTGCACTTGTTCTTTGCCGCTTTGTCACCTGTGTATGTCATCTGAAAATGCTTGTACAACTCCTGGAAATCCCTAGCTGTAATCTTGACTTTTGACTTGCTGGGGAAAGTAGGTACAAGTGTGTGTTTGTGTGAGTGTGTATCCATCTCCTCCTGCTGCTCAACCCCCAACCCACCAACCTTCTCACTCCCCTGCCCTCTCCCTGTTTCTTTGTGCTTGCGAGGATGGTGTTGAATTCATACGTGCTTTCCCTCGTCTATTTTCTCGACAGCGACTACATCGTAGAGGAGAAGAATGCTGTTTTACAAAAGAAAGACAATGAGGGGTTTGGTTTTGTCCTGCGGGGAGCCAAAGGTGAGTTATACACACACACATGCTGAAACTTTCACTTCCACAACACCTTTGTTTCACATGTGTGTGTTCTGCTCTCATGAGTAGTTTGATGATCTGAGTCACAGTTTAGATCAAGCAGTAATGTGACTGAGTCAACAGCATAGACAGCTTTAGTCAACACTCGGTTTATTTTCTGATATGTGCTCAGGCATGCATGCGTGAGTGTGTGTGTGTGTGTGTGTGTGTGTGTATGTACGTGTATATGTGCACGCGTTCATGTGTGTATAAGTGAGAGAAAGAAGGAGCATGTAGACCGTCTGGGAGCGTCATCCTTGGCCGAGCCGTCAGCTAGCTGTCCCATCTGTTCATCGCACATGGCGACGAGTTTGAGTAGAGAAACGCTCCTCTTCTTTGATTCTTCTATTTATTTTTTATTTTTTTTACTTTGCCTGTCCTTATTTCTTACTGTCAGCTCTCCTCCACTCCATGCATTTCATATCCTTCCTGTCAATTATCATCTCTAAACACTGTCATACCTTCCGCTTTTTGACCGCAATCACCTTTCAGCTGGTCTCTGTAATCATAAACTCATTTTACTCACACACGTGTCATCTCTCCTGCTCAGGCTGGTTGCCATGGTAACCTGCTACTCAGCAGCTTGCCGGGAGTCTGAGTGTGCTTTACTGCTCCATCACTCACTACCATAAATCTTGGCTCACCCCGCTCTTCTTTTATCAGTCAGTCTTTTTCCTCTTCAGGACCTTTAAGCGCACACACACAAACACACACACTGCTGCTCACTTTGGGCTCCTCTGAGAGCTCTCATGTGTCAGTGAATTAGTTGCATCTGCTTCAAGTTTAAACAGTTTTTGATGGTGGACTTATTTAATAAAGGATGCCCCTGACCTAGCTGTCTACAGTAAGCTTGTACAGTGATTTCCTCTAGAATAGTAAAATGTAAATTTAAGTGGAAGACAACACTTGTGTGAACTAGCTAGGGGGTCTGGGTCATGACCCTATATGTTGTGGGGGGGTTTTTGTTGTTGTTATAGATTCAACTTGTTTGCTGGATTCCTTAGATAGAGAACTTTACTAATTGGCTTTTATGTATGTGAATGTTCCTGTAAAGTGCCCTGAGACAACTTTGTTGTGATTTGGCGCTATATAAATAAACTGAATTGAATTGAATATTTTGTTGTTGTTGTTGACTATGAGGAAGTTTTGCTGGATAGTTCCCAGCTTGGCTGAGGCTGTAATCATTTTCTAACGCAGCGTCACCTAAAATAGGCAACGTTTTATTAGTTTTATTTGCAGAATATCTTATTTTGCACATACATTATTTACAAACTGATATCTCATGTCTGCTGACATATTGTCTCATGGACAAGATAGTTTAACAGGCTAAAGTTAGTTTGCTCCTTGACTGACTGTTTAGGTTGTCACAGGTTTTGTTGCAGTTGTAGTCAATCACGTGTCACCAAAACTTATTGAAAAGTTGTTCATAGATATTGTTTAGACATTATTCCAACTTAGTGTTTATTGTTAATTGTAATTTCTGAATGGCTGCAGGCTGCTGCAGACTTTTTTGCCTTAGCTTTCAGCTCAGTCTCGATTATAGACATGAAAGTAATGGCCACATCACAGATGGCAACAAGAGGCTGCAGTGGTCCAAATAGTCTCATTCTTGGTGAATATTAAATGTAAACAAAAACTTAATTTGTTGAGAAAAATCCATATATTATTAAAATAACAGCTTGTAGTGATAATTTTAAACTTTGAGTAGAAATTAGTCTTTTGCAGAACGGTTTCCAGATAAAATCTGTAAGAAAATTAAAAAAAAAAATTGAGAAAGTAGTAATTGCAGTTGCACATACTTTAACTAAACATTCTCATATATATGTTTGAGTTTTTTTATTTGTTTGTTTTTCTTGTAGGAGTGACTTAAATATTTTTATAAAAGTTGAGTTGATGTTTAGATGTTTTATATGCGACACCCTTATAATAGTTGAAAGCTACTAATATTCTTTTCTGTTACAATCCTGGTCAAAATGCTGTACAGGAACAATGTAAATATATTTATCAGACCATTTTATTACAAATTAAAAGGGAGTTTGGACATTGTTATTTGGAATTGTTCAAATGTTCTTTGCTTCATTTTGTGTATGTGTGTTGCCACGGGTCATCTTACTTATTATTGAATAAAGCTAATAAAAGGAAGAGCTGGAACTCACTTTGTTGGGAGATTTTTCTGCGTGTATAAAATCTCATTCATTTTTCTTGTGTGGGTTATTTTCACAGCTGAGACCCCCATTGAAGAGTTTACCCCCACCCCAGCGTTCCCTGCCCTGCAGTATTTGGAGTCTGTGGACGTAGAGGGCGTGGCCTGGAGGGCTGGTCTCAGGACAGGGGACTTCCTCATTGAGGTATTTAGGAACAGCCCATCACTTACATGTTCAGCGGTATGATTCAAGTAGGATACTTGCAGTAATTTGTGAGACTGTGAAGTTTGATGTGATTATCAAAACTTGATAACTATGCTTTTAAAGATCAGCAGTACAATAAAGAAATCTCTTGCTTCGCTTGTCTTTTTGTGTTATATTCAGGTAAACGGCGTGAATGTAGTGAAGGTGGGCCATAAACAGGTGGTGTCGTTAATACGGCAGGGGGGCAGCAGACTCCTGATGAAAGTTGTTTCTGTCACACGCAAACCTGAATCTGAAGAAGTTGTTCGGAAAAAAGGTAAAATGCCAACCCTTTCTATTATGTTGATATGTAAACATGAAAAAGATGAGCTAATATAGTTGATATGAAAAAAGAAGCATATTTTACATGTAAAAAGATACGTGAAATGCCATATTTGTTATTTTTGTGAGACACATCCAACTTTTCCTTCTTCACACTTGATGGAGAACCTGGTATACACCCATGACCTACATGACCTTTTAAATGTGGCTGCATCATGACAAAATTAGAGAAGCTTCTTCACTGTGAAGGCATTCATGATGCTGTTATGTACTTAGTATTTTTCAAATAGGTTTTCCTTGCTATTTCCATGTCCCCTAAACACTCTCCTGCTACATTACCACACTTTATAGGTTCACCCTGGCATGACTCTCTTAAATCATACCAGAAAGCAGATACAGGGCTGCTGTAAGTTGTTTCCATGACCTTATCAGGATCATAGTCAAAACCTAGATGTGAGCCCAGTGTGGCCAGTCCTGCTTCTCAACAATCTTCCCACTGGTGTACATTGGCCTCATTTAATAAATAGGCTGCCACTGCTGCCACCACACTCCACCCATAATTACAATATGGTGCCCCAATGATAAGAAACCATTATGACTCTGATTCAGAAGTTTTGTGCATACATAAAAGCTTGTGAACTTACCGCAATCCAATGAGCTAAATGGGGAGTCCACTGCATTCTTAATATGTGCCTGAAGACTTAGCCAAGACCCTGGAAAGACCATCAGCATTCTGGCAGATATTTTTTTACATTGGATTGTTATTCATTGGGAAGAGAGTCTTACTCATTGTTCCTCTTAATTATTTGACAATGTCGTCAACATTTGATTGCCTCTTCCAAGTCTGCATATTGCATGTAATTCCATGAGGGTATATTGTATATGTACAACATATTTAGTACTTGTAATGTAATGGAAACAATTACATATTGAAACAAATGTGTTTTGGTTGGGTTAAGGATTTCTACCACTTTTCACCACTGTAACTCTGTGTAGTTTCCATGTCAACCAGAGCTTGCCATTCCTCTGCTCCCACACAGTCCTGGCACAATGACCTGCGTACTCTGCACTTGTGTGTTTCTGTTGATGTTTGTGAGAATGTTGAAGTGTAACGTAGAGTTATGTGTGTGCTGCTTCTTTGTGCTTTTTGAGGTACAAAGAAAGCACATTTGACACAGTTTTATTGGACAATGCTCTGTCAGCTTAAACCTTCTTCTCTGTGCTTTGTGGTCTGTATTAACATCTACTTCTGTCTGTCTTCCTCAGTCCCAGTGGTAATCACAGGGGGGCTCAAACCTAAAGGCTTATTAAAGCTCATTGTGTGATTTTCTTCCCACAATTCACATACATTTATATTAGGTTAATGAGTGGTTTGGAATTAGCTAAAAGTGGATGATTTTCTGTTATTTGATCCTGTAATGAACTGGTAACTTATTCAATAAGCTGCTTGTCTCCCAATGACAGCTAATCCAGTCCCTGAAAGCATGAGTATAAGACAAATATAGACTCCATTGTGTAGTTGTTGGTTGTTGTTTTTTATTGTTGTTTTTGTTGTTTAGTTGGTTGATTGGTTGTTTCTAGTTTGATAGCTTTTTTGTTTGCAGAGAACAGAAATATATATTATACAGACTGTTGGAGTCGGTCTCCACATCATCACAGACATGTACACCTCCAGATGCAGGAAGAGGGCCACTGTATTAGAGCTGTCATTTCTAACCCAGGCCCAAAGCCTGGCTCGGCCCGACCTGAATTTCAAGGCAGGCTGGGCCATAATAATGTGCTGGATGGGCGAGACGGGTCTGTGTCAGGCTTTTGATTGCATCAGCGGACACGCGCAGCTGATGATCCAATTATATGGCAACATGGCTTTTCATACGATCACCAGCCGCACGCGACCATTTGACCGCGTGCTGACAGGCCTTGAAAGAGGAAAAAAAAGTTCAGTTAAGCTTCAGATGAGACTACTGCCAGGCATCAAAGCTCAAGTGGATGTTCAGCCGCTGCACTCAGTGGATGTGTGCGGCCGACGGCCCAAACAGGTGAGATCCCAAAATATCCTGCAGACATGTCAGAGCATGGTCTGTGTCTGAATAATGCTGAATGCAGGCAGAAACAGGGATTTAATGCACTTTGACAACCATGAAAGGACAAACACCCCCTCACCTTCGATCTTCTGCCCCCTTTTACTCAGCCGCATGCATCCGCCGACCGTTAATAACTATATAAGCAGTCAAAGCTTAATTAAAAATGTTGGGGGAGGTTTTCGGGTTCAGACCTGAAATTATTGTTAATTCGTCAGGTCAGGTTCGGAAATGATGGCTACGGGCTTGGGCCGGGTCAGGTCGGATTGCAACTCTAACCTGCATCATGAAGGACCCCACTCACCCAGCACGCACACTTTTTGCCCCACTCCCTTCAGGCAGAAGTTTGCGGAGCATTAATTGCAGAACCACTAGACTGAGGAACAGCTTCTACCCTGAAATCCCTAATCTGGATTATCACTGTGGGAAAGAAAAAAAAAATCACTGTAATGCCACTTTGATTGTTGATATGTGCTGCTGATTATCCATGCTGCTGATCTCATGCTGCTGTATTCATTTGTACTCATCTGCTCACACAGACTCATGTTCATGCTGCTGCTGTTCGACGTATTGTTTTGCACTATTAGTATTTAGCATATTCTTAGTTTAGCATATTCTTAGTTTATATCTTAGATCCTTATTTACTGTTTCTTTTACAATTTACATTTTTGCTGTTGTTTGATGTAACTGGGATCCTATGCACACAATTTCGTTCTATCCCATATACCACATGTGATGCGAATGATAATAAAGAACCTTGAACCTTGATACAGACAGTAACATGTGGCCGTCACGTTTTAGGGATAAACAGTAAAGAATTTCACAGTTTGAAAGGATTTTTTAATTACAAAGTTAGCAAAATAGGCATTTCCCAAAATGAAATAAGCAAGTCAAAACAATGTCCGTGTATAATTTCCCCGACATCATTTGGTGCTCCCTTGCAATTCTAATTAACAAGAGATTTTTAGCATGAAATACATTTTCACTGGCAAAAAATGCTGAATAGACACACAGAGGAACAAGAAATGGTGCAATAATTTAATCAAATGACACAGCCATTTCAAGTACATCACTTTGTTTTTGTTTACCACTCATTTAAGATGCATTTGAAGCTTTCAATTTATTTATGATGATGATTATATTGAGGTTTGTATCTGGTAATTTAGAGTAGTGGGGAAGAAAAAAAAATCCTCTTCAGTTTGAAACATTTTCTTTGGTCTGTCCCTTTCTGCACCCTAAGCTGTGCTTAACGCTGTTTGTTGCTACTTATCTTTTCTACTGGGAAAAACTCACCATAATGTGCTTCACTTCAGCACAAAATGAGCAGACACATGCTGACACACACAGACTCACAACCAAACTCACTTTCTCTTCATCATGCACGGCCTCACTACTCCCGTCGTTGCCATGGTGACTACAATGCATGTTTGAATTAAGCATTACATTACAGAAAAAGCAACACACTCTCTCTCTCTCTCTCCGTCTGAGTCTCTCTCTTTTTCCATCCTCCTCTATCTCCTCTGCTGCTTGCTTTTGCACCTCAGTGTGCAGGCTGGTAAGGAGAGGAAGATGTTTGATCTGGACAGTACTCAGGATGGCGTATGTACACTGGATGTGCAGTTGCTGATGACAGCAGGATAGTTTCGCTCCAGTAAGACATTGGGGCATGTGTGCAATCTAGAGAGTTATTGCTCTACAGTAGTACAGTCGGTGTTAAATGGTCAATCTCAGACAGAGTGAGCTGAAGTAGTTCTGCTGTGGAGTATAGTTTGAAAAATGGTTATTCTAGGTTTTACTGTGGCTTTATTGTTACTCTCTGACTGCATGGTATTTTGTTGTTACTGTTGATTTAACATGACAAAATACGTCATGGCATTATTTTCAATTTAGGTAACAACAGTATTTATTCATAGACTTTGTTGAAACTTGTAACTTTGCAGTTTGTTTGTTTTGTTTTGTTTTTAACCAACATTTGGTTGGTCTGATTTACTGCTTTGACTGGTACAGTAACCGCTCAATTGCTTTGAGTGTGTAGCAGGATTAGAAAGCTCCCAGGAGCTCTGGTAATGTAAAGTCTGCAGCACATCATTTTCCTTAGCTGTTAAATTTGCTGTCATCTCTTTGTCTGTCGCACCACATGTCATAATGTCCTCCCTCAAGGAGTTCTCTTTGTGAGATGATGTGCATGTGCGTGCAAACCAGGGTGTTTGTGTTTCTCTGAGATGCATGTCTGCTGAATTCAAGGCAGGCAGTATATTAAAGAAAAAATGAACGGCTCTCCTCTTCTCCTTTCTGCACTCGTACTTACTCTGTCTATAGTAGCAGCCAAACATGTTGCGGTGTGTTTGATGGAAGGATTCAAAAAGCTACAGAGAAGAGTGACTTTTTTAAAAACTGCCAATGTGCTCTGCAACTGAGGCATGTTCTTGCAGCAAAGGTTACAAACCTGAAAGTCTTTCAGACTCACTCAAAACATAAATAATCATAAACAAAGGGAAGAAAACATGAAGAAGTTGGGCTTTGACCGTGGCTTCAACAAAGTCATTGCCAAGTGTGATGCTTCGAGCTCTTCTGATTTTGACAAACGTAAAGCAGTGAAGACTGGATGGGTTGGCCGTCTGGGAGACGCTAAGAAGGCTCTGAGTCGCAAAGCCAAAGGGTTTTCGTCCCCCTCGACTTCTTCCTCAACGCCGTGCCTTTTCTCCACAGCTCCACCACCACCTAAGAGAGCTCCCAGCACCACCCTGACACTGCGATCTAAATCCATGACTGCTGAGCTGGAGGAGCTGGGTGAGTGCCAAAAGAACTGGCATGTAAACTCAACTCTCTTTCTGTTTTTTCCATCACAACTCTGCTTTTTCTTTGTCATTAAATTTTGGTGAGTGACTATCCTAACTTTTAGAATAGTCACTTTTTTGGCTTGTTCTTGTCATTTTTTTCCTCCTCTGCTGACACTATCTTTTCCCCACAAAGCTACTGCTCGGAGGAGAAGAGGAGGTGAGTCTCAGGCGAGAAACTAACACTTCTCTGAGCGTCATAATGATGATTTAATATGCTGTATAAGCAATGTTGATTAGTAAAGAAGAGCAGAACAGAAAAACGCTTGAAACCCATGGACACCGTCTCTATCCATCTTTCTCTTTTCTACTTTATGTCTCTTTTTACTTAAAGCACCTACTAGGAGCTCGCATGAAAAACAATATATTGAAACAAGCAATGATTTTATGCATTACCACAAAGCATGATTTTACATTGTGGTGCCTTATGTCTTAATTTTGCCTTTTATTGTCTGTGGCATTCATGTAAAAAAATGGTGATAAAACATTTACAAAACTGTATAGATTTAATTATGGCTTATTTCCTTCTTCACAGAGAGGCTTGATGAGATGTTGGCATCACAAGAATCTATGTTGCATTCTCAACCCCCGGAGGCAGATTACAGAGCAGCCACTGTCAAACAACGGCCTACCAGTAGGAGAATAACACCAGCAGAGATCAGTGTGAGTGCTCCTACACAAAACACATTTCCAAACAACATATTGCACCAAGCTGCTATACATAAAAGCTTGATCTGACATACTCCAAATATCTGGCCTACACAACATGCATTAATGTGTGAAGATGTTAAAAGTGGTAAAAATGTTAATTACACAGTGAGTGCTGGATTCTGTGTTTCAGTCACTGTTTGAGAGGCAAGGGATGACGCTACATGGAGGTCTGCACCCAGGGATTGAGAGAGGTCATATACCACTTTCTAAAGGCATGTCCAGGACCAAGTCTTTTGGTAAAACTGTCACCCACAGTGTATTTATTTAAATCAAATGACTGATGGTTTAATTATTTTAAGATTAAATATTTTTGTTATTGGCATATTTTTGCTGCATTTTTGAGAAAGCCAAACTGTTATGAGGTATTTGAATAATAAGCTATACAGTTGGATGCATTCTAGTGTGTTTTCCATGCAGTAACTGTGAACTTAGTGCAGTGGCGTAAAGTTGTTGTTTTTTTCTTTCTAATTATTTCACTCCTCATTTCTGTGTTCAACCCTAATCCATCAGGAGCCACAGAGGAGGATCGATTGTCTGCTCTTACAGGCGAGCATAGATTTCCTCGCAGCTCCTCTATGACAGACAGCCTTCGAGACCACTCACAACCCCATCCTATACCTCCTCCTCCACAAACAGCACCTCCTCCACCTCCTTACTACCTAGACACTGGTCCTCCCCCAGCTTTCTGCCCTCCCCCTCCTCCATCTAGAACCCAGAGTCAGGGCCATGAGCCTGGAGGACGATCCAGCTTCAAGCCATCCTCCTTGGACCTGCCTTACGAGGCTGCACAGCGACAGGCCACCCACCTGGAGAGACAGAAGAAAGCTCGCTCGATGATTCTCTTACATGACTCTTCTCATCTACCTGTAGAACCCACAGAAATTCCCCGTCCCTCTGCTGCTACTCCACCAGAGCGAATCAAGAGAAAGGGTAGAGTTATTGACAACCCTTACGCAAATGTGGGTCAATTTAGCATTGGACTGTACACACCCACAAAACCACAAAGGAAGAAAAGTCCCCTGGTGAAACAGCTGCAGGTAGGCTGAATGTTAGGGATCATTTCTAATTTTGTTTTACTTTTTATTTTTATCTCAATAAAAAAGACACTTTGACCATAACCTTGTGTGTGTGTGTGTGTGTGTGTGTGTGTCTTTACTGCAGGTAGAAGATGCACAAGAAAAAGCTAGTTTGGCCTTAGCTGCTGCTCACTCGCGAGAGAGCTCACCCTCAGGACGACACCCACATACCCATGGACACACTCACACCAGTCGTGTAGACTACTACCAGCAGCAGCTTATTGCTGAGCGAGAACGTTTGCGTGCCCAAGGAGAGATCTTGTTTCAGGGTAAAGGCCCCTTTGCTGCTGCAATTGCTGGAGCAGTGAAGGATCGCGAGCGTCGTCTAGAAGAACGAAGAAAATCTACTGTCTTCCTTTCTGTTGGGACCATGGAGGGGTCATCTCCATCAAGCCCAGATTCCCCCTCTTTGACTCAGTCTCACTCTGTTGATGAACGGATGCTAACCCGTGAGCTGGGACAGCTTCCTCCCCCTGCCTTGACTTTGAGCCCCTCACCTAGTGGGACCACCTTTATCCATCCTCTTACAGGAAAGCCTCTGGACCCAAATTCACCACTGGCTCTTGCGCTGGCCGCAAGGGAGAGAGCACTGACCTCTCAGAGTCAGTCCCCAACTACCAGCCCAGAGCCTCGAACTAAACATGAGCGAATAGGCCAGGGTGTAATGTTTGCTGACACTCAGACCAAAGAGTCTCCACATGGGGATGGGGTAACATCATCTCCCCCTTTTTCACCTAAGAACGCCAAGGCAGCAGGGTATGAAGCTAGATCCTCTCCAGCATCTATTTTAGCACCTCAATCCACTAAACCACAATGGGCTACATCATCTTCACCTATATCATTCCGCCAAGAGATGGAAGCTAGAATAGAGGAGAGGAAGGAGGAAAAAAGACTAGAGGATAAAAAAAGTATGTTGATCAGCATTATGGATACATCACAGCAGAAGACAGCAGGGCTGATCATGGTCCATGCAACCAGTAATGGTCAGGCTGTTGGAGCGGGTTCAGATCCTGAACAAACACCTGTGCCTGCATCTATAGAGCCCATCAAAACGCAGAGTCCACGGGCTAAATCACCTGTTCCCATTGTGGCCCAGCCACAGACACAGCTACACGTACTGCCTCATGCTCAGCGTCCTGCCAGTCCGGCCCAAGAAAAGAGTCTGGCTCAGGGAAGCTCAGAGGAGGATGTGGACCAGTTCGCAGTTGCTCTGCCAGCTGCTATGCTGTCCTCCAGTGACGAGGAAACAAGAGAAGAGCTACGAAAGATCGGAGTTGTTCCTCCACCAGATGAGTTTGCAAATGGGTTGTTAGCACAGGGTCAGAGGACATTAGTGTCTTCTGCTGTACCCGCCCCCTCTCCCATCACACCAACAACATCAGCCCCGCAAACTTCTTCAACCCGAACAACCTCAATGGTGACTACCACCCAGCTTCAGCCTCCCCAGCCACCACCCCCACCACAACCTCCAACCAGTGCAGCAACTGTCTCAGGGAAGCCCTCTGAACCTCTGGAGCCCCCACCAGTGGGCGAGTCTGGCTCTGCAGCTGATTCGGGAGTGGAGGAGGCTGATACACGCAGCTCCAGTGAGAGAGAGCGAGACTACCATCTCGAGACCACCAGCACTGTCTCTACTGTCTCCAGCATGTCCACATTGTCCTCAGAAAGCGGCGAACCTGCTGACACGCATACCACACACACCTCCTATGCTGATGGGCAGACTTTTGTGCTTGATAAGCCACCAGTGCCTCCTAAGCCTCGACTTAAGTCCCAGATAGGAGGCAGTAAAGGCCCCGTCACCTTCAGGGACCCTTTGCTGAAGCAGAGCTCTGACAGTGAGCTGCTGTCACAGCAACAAGCTGCTGCCCTGGCTGCCGCTGCGGCTGGAGGAGCTGGGCTCCCTGCAGGTGGTTCTGCTTCAGTGACTGGTCTAGCCCCATCCAAGCCACGCTATCTCTTCCAGCGGAGGTCCAAGTTGTGGGGGGACCTAGTAGAACCCCGAGGACCAGGGATAGGCTTAGGCATTGGGAGTTTAGGTAATCTTGGTGGGCTGGGACTTGGATTGGGTGCAGATGAGGGTGCAAAACCATCTGTTATGGGAGAGCTCAGTTCACGACTACAGCAGCTAAGTAAAGACACCAGGTCACTGGGTGAAGAACCCCTGGGAGCATCACTTGACCCAGGAAGAAAGTCACCTGTGGCAGGTGCCAGGTAAGAGAATATCTAGCACAGGTTTACTGGTAAATTTCATTTAACTTAAATGAGAAAATAAAATAGAAATATTAGGTTTTATGCATATACTTATCACCTTAAAGTGCAAAAGAAAAATTCAACTTCAATGAGAAAAAAATACAAATAAATAAATACACATAATATTTACGTTGTTGTTTTCAAACACATTGTTATTCCTTATATACATGATTATTGTGTTAAAACTTCCTGTTTTAATTTTATCAGTGTTGCATTAATGATATGGTGATGTTTTTCCATTATAGAGATCACAACTTATTTTATAAGTGGTCTACTTTGAAAAATAGAGACCTGAAATTTCAAGCATTGCTGGCATTAATAGTTTTATTGCTACAGCATATACAATGTGTACTCAATCAAACCTGTCTTTTGACTACAAACTTTGAATCATCAATATATATTCATCAAAAAACCTAAATAAGACATAAAAACAGCATCAGCAGGGTTATCTGAAACATCGGCGTCACAGTGGTGTTTTTGTCTGTTATGATTTCCTTTTTCTTCAAGATGCCTAAACGTTCTATGAATTCCTTTATATTTCTGCAGATGTGAGGATACCGAAGACACTAAACCTTAAAGTTATAAACCCTAGGGTAAACAAATGTTTTTTTTTTAATATATCTTTCATAATAACCCTATAAGCTAAGCTCAATTAATTATGAAAACCCTTTTATAAACTTTGTTTTATGTGTTTTCTTGAAGTATTTGTTACCTTGTTTGCATTGCAGCCCTGCAAAATGAATTAAATCATTGGTGTTAGAAATACATTAGCTTTACACTTTGCTAGGTCTGGTCTTGGGATAAAACTGCTCCTTGTTTCCATAGTTACCGTTATATTTCTTGGCCTCCCTATAAATGTATTCATTGTTAACTGTAAGCAGAAGTAATCAATAAGTTAGTATTGTCTTGATTTTGCTTTTTGGTGTGTGTGAGTGCGTGTGTGCATGTGTGTGTGTAGGTTTATGCTAAGTTGATTAACTACTGGTGCAAACAAGGTAACAGGGCTTGAGACAGGCACTATGTGAAATACTTTCCTCCCCTTTTACTCACTGTCATGTTCAAGTTCTAACCTTTGTCCCTGCTAATATCTTTCCTTTTCTGCGTTTCCCAGGGTCCTTGTTCAAATATCACACAATACATCCTGTTATCTGCTGCCTTTGCAGTCATCACTATATGAACTTGATAAGACTGGAAACTGCAGTTTTCTTCTTATCTCCATCCCCCATTGTAAAAAAAGTGATGATGTCAAAGAGTTGAAGGATGTATTTTTGAAGAAGTATTTGAACAGGACTGAACCATAATGGTGTGTTGTGTTACAACTTTCCTTCTAGGATCTTTGCATTAACAGTCTTGTTAATGACAAAAGTACTGAAAATCTCTAATGTTGTCAAAAGTCCTTTGGGGCACATGAAGTAACGGTCAATAAAAATGGTGGGATTTTGTTATTGATCTCATTAGGATTTACTTTAGTTGTACAACCACCTCATTTGTGTGGGTGTATTTTTATAGGTTTGCAGATTGGGTGAAGGATAAATACCGTCACAGCTTTAGATGATATCATATTTACGATTTTAGTTCTCAAATCAGTAATGCAATAAAGTATAAAAAGAAACTCACATCATTTAAACTTAAGAGTTTTTTTTATGTATTCCTATCCACTTTTCAATAATTAGTTTGCTAAAAGTCTTTGTAAATATAATTAGTATAAACTATACTAATTATTTATGTGCATCACTTTTTCAACACTTGGTTTTAAAATTTACCTACAAATAATTTGGTTATTTTTATGATCACTTTATAGTTGCTGTCTTAGACAATGCTAACGTCAGTTCTACTATGTTTTCATTAGTAATATTAATTTGCTTTTAATAGTTATAGAAATTTGTTTACAGTTGTATTACCCTGAGTGTGTTTGTGGTGCCAAGCATGATGGTTTTGGATCTTAGGGGTCATGTGACCTTCAGTAAAAGTATTCACCAGGTTTGACCTTGTTCTGGTGCAATATTGCTTTAGCATTAAGGTTTTATTTCATTTTTTTATGTGTGTGTACTTCTGGAGCCATTTCACAACAAATTTTACAGTGGTGGGCCCACTGTCCTCCTTTCAAAAGCTGCTCATGTTGCCATATTGGCATAATTTTGGGTGACTTGTAAAATAGTGTCCACATAACATGAAGAAACAAGGTTGCTCTGCAGAGTATTGTATTGTGACAAGATGATCAGTGTATCTTTCTTTGCTGGTCAGTGATTTTATTTTTGTACCTAATATGGGGAAAATGTAGCCATTAATCATCGATCTCCACAACATCTGTGAATGGAAAGGAAGACCATGATTCTAAAAACTATGTATCATGCAACACCCAGTTCTGATTTTGCTCATCCTCCCACCATTTCCATCCTGACAGTTAATTGCCTTTGGCTGTGACAAAGATGATCATGCACACCATTATTCCCCCCGCTCTCTCATTCTCTCTCTCTTTCTGTGTCTGCATCACCCTGCATCTGCATTTAATTCTCTTCACCTACTGGAGCATTCCTCATAGAGGATAGGCATCTCAGCTCTCCTGTTTGTAATGCTCCTCCATCATGTACTCCATTCACTATGCGCTTCATTTACAACACTCCCAAAACCACAGTGCTGTATTTTGTTTTCTTGTATCATATCTTATATGTTTATTTTGTCAATAGGTTTGGTTTGATGTTCTTATTTATTTATTTACGTTTATTTATTTAAATAACTTTATTTGTTTCACAGTGCTTGTGTTAAGAATGGCCATGGTCACTGACTTTCTTACTTTCTGCTCTTTATGTTTGTGTTTTAAACCATATTTAAACAGAAGTAAATTTGGATTTTTAAAGACAAACAATAAAATAGAACAGCACATACAGGTGGTAATATTTAGTGCTCTATAGTATGTGCAAACAGTTATAAAAGTCAAGAGACATGTGCCTTTCTTTCTTTATTCATTTATGTGTTTGTTTTACTTTGTGCAGTGTTTTATAAGTGAAAAGTGTGCTCATTTCTCTCTCATGTAGCCCACTGACCAGACCTTTCAGTGCTGCTCTGTTGTCTTTCTCATGCCAACACACCAGCTACAAATGTGCACATCATGGCTACACTCAATATCCAAACATACATGTGGTCCCCCGCACTCACCTGCACTCGTGAATGAAGCATGTTGAAGACAGCAGAGTTGGCCGAAGAAGAGAATGAGTCTGGTTGGCAGGTTGCGTTTCATGGAGTGATGCTAACATTCTCTCCCATTGCTCTCTCTCTGCTCACCTTGCATGCTCCGCCCTGCTGCTCTGATCTGATTGGTCTAGAACTGACTGTGCGCCCAGGAGGGCAAGACGACTGTGTAAGTGGCAATGGAGCTCATCTCAATCTGTTGGCTCACTGTAGTCTGATTATTGTTTCCCAGCCTGTGCGCTGCTCGGCTACCTTTGTTCCATCACACTCTGTAGTCCAAATTCCACCCACATCAAAAGTCCCGAACATATCCGGAAGATGGTTTAGACTTTATAATGTGCATGAATAAAACAGATCACTGCCACAACTCTTCCTCACATTTAGGTCTCTCTTGTCTTCTTTTGCCTGCTTCCACCAAGATAGACAACACTCTCATTTTACTTTCTAAATCGTCTCTTCTTTCTAACCATGTTTCTTTCTATTAGATCAATAGTAAACTAATGACTGATTTCAAAAAGTGTTTCAAAATTTATTCCATTTTTTTCTGAGCATTGATCAGGCTTATCCCTTTTACTAATACAGGAGTCCCTCGTTTATCGCGGGGGATCCGTACCCTGAAGTCCCGAGATAAGTGAAAAACCACGAAGTAGGAATAGTATTACAAGTAGTAAGTAGTAGTTTATTTTAGTATATATATATATATATATATATATATATATACATATACATATATACATACAGTGCCTAGCGAAAGTATTCGGCCCCCTTGAACTTTTCAACCTTTTGCCACATTTCAGGCTTCAGACATAAAGATATAAAACTTACTTTTTTGTGAAGAATCAACAAGTGGGACACAATCGTGAAGTGGAATGAAATTTATTGGATGTTTCAAACTTTTTTAACAAATAAAAAACTGAAAAGTGGGGCGTGCAATATTATTCAGCCCCTTTACTTTCAGTGCAGCAAACTCACTCCAGAAGTTCAGTGAGGATCTATGAATGATCCAATGTTGTCCCAAATGACTGATGATGATAAATAGAATCCACCTGTGTGTAATCAAGTCTCTGTATAAATGCACCTGCTCTGTGATAGTCTCAGGGTTCTGTTCAAAGCGCAGAGAGCATCATGAAGACCAAGGAACACACCAGGCAGGTCCGAGATACTGTTGTGGAGAAGTTTAAAGCTGGATTTGGATACAAAAAGATTTCCCAAGCTTTATACATCCCAAGGAGCACTGTGCAAGCAATCATATTGAAATGGAAGGAGTATCAGACCACTGCAAATCTACCAAGACCCGGCCGTCCCTCTAAACTTTCATCTGGAACAAGGAGAAGACTGATGAGAGATGCAGCCAAGAGGCCCATGATCACTCTGGATGAACTGCAGAGATCTACAGCTGAGGTGGGAGAGTCTGTCCATAGGACAACAATCAGTCGTACACTGCACAAATCTGGCCTTTATGGAAGAGTGGCAAGAAGAAAGCCATTTCTCAAAGATATCCATAAAAAGTGTTGTTTAAAGTTTGACACAAGCACCTGGGAGACACAAGTCAGAGTCAGAGATTCTTTATTGTCATTCGCACCTCATGTGGTACATGTGGTGGAGCGAAATTATGTACAAAAGTGGACATGTGAAGGGCCATGTGGAAGAAGGTGCTCTGTGGTCACATGAAACCAAAATCCAACTGTTTGGCCACAATGCAAAACGATATGTTTGGCATAAAAACAACACAGCTCATCACCCTGAACACACCATCCCCACTGTCAAACATGGTGGTGGCAGCATCATGGTTTGGGCCTGCTTTTCGTCAGCAGGGACAGGGAAGATGGTCAGAATTGATGGGAACATGGATGGGGACAAATACAGGACCATTCTGGAAGAAAACCTGTTTGAGTCTGCAAGAGACCTGAGACTGGGACGGAGATTTATCTTCCAACTAGACAATGCTCCAAAACATAAAGACACATCTACAATGGAATGGTTCACAAATAAATGTATCCAGGTGTTGGAATGACCAAGTCAAAGTCCAGACCTGAATCCAATCGAGAATCTGTGGAAAGAGCTGAAGACTGCTGTTCACAAACGCTCTCCATCCAACCTCACTGAGCTCGAGCTGTTTTGCAAAGAAGAATGGGCAAAACTGGTAGAGACATACCCCAAGAGACTTGCAGCTGGAACTGCAGCAAAAGGCGGCGCTACAAAGTATTAACGTAAGGGGGACGAATAATATTGCACGCCCCACTTTTCAGTTTTTTATTTGTTAAAAAAGTTTGACACATCCAATAAATTTCATTCCACTTCACGATTGTGTCCCACTTGTTGTTGATTCTTCACAAAAAATTAAAATTTTATATCTTTATGTTTGAAGCCTGAAATGTGGCAAAAGGTTGAAAAGTTCAAGGGGGGCGAATACTTTCGCAAGGCACTGTATATTTATATATATATATAATATACTATGTCTTGCTATATATATATTTATATAAAGGTGTTTTAAACCCTTCCCACATTCTTGCAATATTTTAAACAATGTTTCTAAACTCTAAACGTTCTAAAAGAGCACAGAATGTCATGATTTCATCTCCCTGCATCCTCTGCTTTTTGTCACCTGCAAGTGCTCTTGGCCACGCCCACTTCTCTGTTCTCATGGAGGACAGCTGATCAGCTGCAGCAGGAAGCCTATCTTGCAGAATGGGCTGCATAATAATGCAGGGGGTACTAAATAATTTAAAATAATTTATTTTAAATAAAAATTCCATGCCGATCGTGCGGGTCATCCATCAATCAATGTCATGTTCAATCTTGTTTTGAAAAACCGTGATAGAACGGTCACTGCGATAAATGAACCGCGAAGTAGCGAGGGTCTACTGTATTTCCTGTTAAACATTAATATTTTCAATATTGTCTGTTTGAGACAGGACACTTTTTTCCCTCAGGACCCAGATGGTCAGATTGGGTTAATAGGTGATTAGTATTTCCTCATTTGTTGTATTTTTTCTAAATTAAGTCAGAGCTGCAATTCTAACACAAACAGACATCCATCTAATGAAAGAAATGCTTAACTTTAAAAGAAAGAAACTCCCTCTCTCTCCCTCCTAAAAACATTTCACAGACATGAGAAATTACATTTTCTTTTTGTATATTAAAATTCTTGTTTATACAGAAGCAAATATCAAGTATTTATGGTTTCTTGAATCTGAAGAACTGGTTATAATGTGCAACAAAATCGCTGAAAACTTTTATTTTTGTTTTCCATGTTTGACCATGTATGAGTGTGTTTGAATTCATAATGTGGTTCCATCCACTATTTAAACTAAAAAAAATAGATTTGTAAACTATAACAGATGTGGTTGATTTAGTAATTCTAATCCATTTCCTGGAACTCTTGTGTTTATTGGTCACAATGAAGCGTCCAGAAAGTCTAGAGTAAATTTGACCTACCTGGAAATCTCTTGGTAAGGACTTTCAGTATCGGCAGGCGGTCAAAATGTTAAAACTTATTGAAAAGTGGATGAATATATGAAATACTTAACAGCTTTGATGTTTCAGTACTGTGACACAAGTTTGTTCTTTTTAAACAGCAAATAACTTTTCTCCTACACTACCTTTAAAAATTAACAACAGATTTAACGTCTAACCCAGTTCTTGGCTCTTTCTTCTGCTTTCTTTTTCTATTTTCTGACTCTCTTGTTTGTTGACATTTCTCAAACTCTCTGTCTCCACCAGACTTTTCAGCAGCCTAGGTGAGCTCCACACCCTTTCTCAGAGAAGCTATGGAACCACATACACCATTCGCCCTGGCAGCCGTTACCCCGTCACCCGACGCACCCCTAGCCCAGGCTCGCCTGATCGGGGTGACCCCCTTGGACGCTTCTCAGGCTTCAGCCTGTCAACTTCACCAACTACACCGCCACAAACCATCCTCAAGTCCTCTAGCCTCAGTTTACCGCAGGAGCCCAAAGAGGTGCGTTTTGTTATGAGGAGCTCCAGTGCCCGGTCCCGCTCTCGTTCTCCGTCACCTTCCCATTCCCCGGGGTTAGGCTCACCACTTTTAGCCCTGCGGCCATTCCACCAAAAACCCCTCCACCTTTGGAATAAGTATGACGTTGGAGACTGGCTGGAGAGCATCAATCTGGGGGAGCACAGAGCAGGCTTTCAGGAACACGAAATTGAAGGCTCTCACCTCCCGGCTCTTACCAAGGAAGACTTTGCAGAGTTGGGCGTGACAAGAGTCGGACACCGCATGAACATTGAACGAGCACTAAAACTGCTGCTAGAGAGCTGACCCCTGCCCTGAGACGGAGCAGCAGATGGAGAGAGATGAAGATGAGTAAGAAGGAGAGTTGAGAATGTTCCTTTGTTTCTACTTTGGCTGCTTTTATGTTTAGTATTGCGGTCCGTAGTGAGACTTTACATTTCTGTTCTGCATTACCACCCTGCACCTGGCACTGCACTGAAGAGGAGACGGCAATACACTTACAAAGTACATTCATCCTCCTCTGCTTGGTCTAACCCACCTCCCTGCTGGAGCCAATTAGATCAGATCTCAGAATGATGTGTGATCTTGATTTGCTAGGGAGAATCATGAGTTCCAATTTGGTCATTTGATTTGTGAAATGTTTAGTTTCTTTAGTAACACACCTAAACTTTCTCGTCATTCTCTCTCTACCTTTGCCCCACCCCCACCCCACCCTATGTATTAGGCCTCTGAAAACCTTTGGCAGTTTGACAAAAGGAGGAAGAATTGTGTTCCAAACAGAAAAGCTCAGTTGCCTTTCAGAAAAATGTTTAAATCATCTACGATGAACACAATACTATGGAAGTAGTGCTTACACAGTTTTGAAAAGGTGTGTCTTCTGTGTACCTGCTACTGTTTTTAGACCGAAGACTTTAGAGCCCAAAGGTGGAGCTCCGCAGCGTAAACCACAGGAGAAAACCCTCTGCCTTGGTACCCAGACTGTGCAATCTATAATATCTGGAGAATGTTTAACCAACACTCGTGGCTTTTTTCATAAGTTTTGGGTTTTCCAAAGGGAAAATTATATACATATAAATATATTAATATATTATAATATATGTATTGACATATAGCTTTCAGAAGAAAAGACAATGTTGCAAAGAAGAAATGTAATAAATTAAGCTGCACATGTTTTTTGGTTTTTAAAACAGAAGGCAGGAAGAAATCTTTAAACCTATCCCACCAATAGTTTACTCATTTCTACATACATACATATATATATGTATATATATGTATGTAT